AAGGCCATTTTTTTTTTTTTTTTGCAAATAAATTTCTTTTTGGCCTCTAAAGTTTGGGAAACAAGAATTAGTAGTAGAAACTTTTAAAATTATTCCACAAGTTGGTCATTAGATGTCCATTTTATAATTAATTATTAATATATTAAATGTTACTAATAGACTGTAATTTTTAATTTGTTTGTAAAATTAAAAAAAAAAAAAAAACTCTTAACATTTATTGTCGTTTTATATTCAAATTGAATTTTTTGAATGACTTTAATAAAATCACTGTCAAAGAATTAAGAAAATGTTACATCTAAATCCATCCTTGGACCCATAGAATGAGAAATATTTGAATGACTTTAATAAAATCACTGTCAACCTTTTAAGAAAATGTTACATCTACTTTCATTCTTGGACCCATAGAATGAGAAATATCAAGTATCAAAAGTTGAGAATTTATGCACTAAACATGCCTCAAAGGTCTTAATAATTTATTCAAGGGATTCTCGTTCTAATAATTGAGTGAACGGGATATGGGTGATCTTGAGTAGATGTGTTAATGTCATGGTGATTTTTTTGGTTTTTCATGTCAAATTTTGGTTTTTGCTTGTTAATTTCTTCTTTATGATGAGGATCTCCGGCTCGCATGAATACTCCTATTTTTACTAAAATTTCAATTTTAGTGTCTGCTCCATGTATTTTTGGTTGTCGGCATTGGGAATCCTCTTTTGAGAGACTAGTTTGTCCTGCTCTTCCTTAATAATACAATAAAATTCATTGGCTTAGAAAAAAAATTGAGTGAAGAGGATTTATTTCTTTAAAGGGGAAAAAAGATTTTACTATAAGAAAAAAAATCGAGTCAATGATTGACAATTATTTTATCAGAAAAAAAATTTGTTATATATACTTATCTAATACGCTCATTTCACACACTCACATAATATATAAATTTTCTAAATTTTAATATTTTTCTGTAGACCGTCCATGAACATTAATTTTAGACAAAATCTCGTAAAAATTAGAGAGATGTATTTTAATATATAATAAAAGAACCCCTAAAAAAAGTTTAGTACAAATAGATTGATTCAACTCTCAAATTAAATAGTAAAGAAGAGATCTTGATTAATCTTAATCTTCATCGAAACAAATTTACTTTATTTTTTATTGAGTTAATTATATTTCTTATATTTGAATTTTGATAAAATGTACAAATTGATGTTGAAAGAAATAAAATATACAATTTACACTCTGGATTTTCAAATAATATATCATTTTAATTTAAATTCTAATATTATTAATTTAACTCACCCATATGGTATCTAATTGATATAATTGTTATATGTATGTTTTTTGTTAAATAAAAGTGTTAAATATTTTGTAAAAATTTTATGTGGATGTCATGTGATAAAAAAAATATTGATTGTTTCTATGCAATTTTTACAGTCTAGATAAAAACATATAAAAATATTTTTAATTGATATTTAAAAAAGATATTGATAGTATGTATAATAAATACATAACCTAATAATATTTATCAAATACAGCATCTAAAAGCAAATATAGCTAACAAGATTGGAGCTTGGATTAATATGAAATATAATTTGAAAATTCAGAATGCAAATTGTATACTATTTAAAAGTTAAGGGTGCAAAATTATATATATTTTTTCTTTAAATACCAATTTAAACATTTTTAAAATTCAATTTGATGATGGATTAAAGAATTTTTTGATGATATTTATTTATAATATATAAAACATTTATAAACAAAATTTAAAATAATATATTGTTATATTATTACAATTATTCAAGACGAGTTATCATATTAAAAAAACATAATTGCATCAATTTTTAATACTATTAAATACATATTCCTCATATCAATTTTTTTAATGATTTAATGGTGTTCAAGTGAAGATGTTCCAAAAAAAATAAAAATGTTTTAAAAAAAATGAACCTTCAAAATTTTTTTATTTTTTAATTTTTAAAAATATCCATGTACATAACTCCAGTAAAACACATGTATCAACATAAAATTTTTTTCATGAAAAATCTGGATGGATATAGACCTTCAATTATTGGACTGAGTATGAATTTTCTTCCTTGGTCATGATTTCCTCCAATATTTTCTTCAAAAGCATCAAGTGCCACGTAGAACGATTCAGGTTTTTTTTTTTTTGTTTCCTTTTTTTTGGGAATTTGACCTAATGCAATGCATGCAACTGATATAATTTTCCACCTGAAAATTCAATTTAAAGGTTTTTGTCTAAAATTCAATTCAACTCAACTAAAGTTGAAGGTTTAAGTGGATATAAATTAGTAAATTACCATGCTCCTAATCTATGCATGGCCATGATTTTATTCAAGTATTATAGTAATTTTCAGTTAAAAGATTATTAACATTAACCATGCATCATGCATATATAGTCATTTTTTGTTCAAATAGTGGTTTTCAGTTAAAAGAATATGATTGACATTAAAACTCTTAATTAATTACGTAGCTTTACCTAGCTACTTATACTTAATCTACAATAAGATATTGCACAATGAGTTAAGACTCGAAAATTTATCTGAACAAGCTCGTACCCTAATTTATCGAATTTGATTTAACACAAAAGTAAAATGTTCAAAAAAAAATCTTTATTATCTAAAATTTTAATTTTTAATCTAAAATAATTTGATCTTAAGAATTTGAACTCAAATTTGATTTGAAATTAAAAAATATATTAAAATATTTATATCTTACATAAAATTTAAAATAATTCAAATTAATTCAAATCTAAAATGATTTAAATTCTAATCAACCGGAAATAATAGGAATCCCATATAAACCACATCTTTCCGTTTGCCATCTCTGCCTACAATAAAAGTTTACCTAGATATATATTTCTATTATCAAATGTTAAAATCAAAGAGAAAAATAGTGGACGGCCTGCCATGTCTTTGCGCATGGACTTTTGGTGCTGGGTCTTCACAGGGTGGGGTCTGGTACGGGTCTCTTCGAATAATGTGAAACACATGCTGTGCCCGTGTGAAACGGTTCATGGCCTGAATATAAAAGCGTGGTTATCGGTGTGATGCTACATTTTTGGCATTATCGTGGGGTAGAAATGAGTCGGTTTTCGAAGGAAAGGGATGGGATAGAGAGGAAGTATTCTTTCTAAAGCTGAGGTCATTGTTTTGGGTTAAAGCAAGTCAAGGATGTATGGCTATCAGTGAAAATGAGTGGTGGTCAAATCCATAGATATAGGAATGATAATAAAAGAGATATTTGCTATCTTTGATATATTCGTTTTGAACTTATTTAATATTTATAATATTAAATTTATTTAAATTTAATATTATTGTTTAACTTCGAATTTATTTAAATAAATATTATCTATTTAAATATTTGAATATTTTAAAATATTCATTTATTTAAAATTTTTAATAAAATATAAAATAAATAAAATTTTAATTTAAAATTCAAGGTGCTTAAGTTTCGTGTTGAGGGGTCTGCACATGGGATGGGAAGCCAAGATCGGCGGGACCGCGGGTGTGGAGGGGTGCTCAAACTTAAAATCTTTACTCATATCTAACTCCACCCTTAGCACTTAGGTTGCTCTATTAATTTCCTTAAGATGTAACTCCAATTTTATTATTCAAGTCATTTCTTTCATTAAACATCTTAAATTGAGATTAGATCAATCAACAAAGAAGCAATGCCAGTTTTTGCTGCTTCCCCAACATGCGTATACTCATCATCATTATCATCATCCTTATAAACGAGATCAATTACTCGTGCAAGATTGAGAATATAATTAAGGTCACCCATTGTATGCCTCTAGCTTTGACGCTCCAAACTGTTTTATGCAGCATTCAACTGCCATGGCAACATGCCTTTTCTTTTGCTCAAACTACATCAACAAGAAATTCCAAATAAACATTGCAACAAGGAAAGTATTTGAGCTAATCTTGTATGAACAAAATATTTTGCCACTACTTTTTTTTATAAGACGATCAATCCTCCTTTCTCTAGGAATAATTCCTGACCCATATCCATTTGATACAATAATTCAAAATTTTATTTTCAAAATACTTCTCACAATAATTAAATTTTGATTACAAATTTGAACTAAGTAGCTAACATCATGTTGTAACCTACTGAACCAAATGGACTTTAGAATTTAAGGGAAAAGAGGAAAAGTACAACATAAAAGAAGAAGATTTTAACTTTACAAACCAATAGCTAGGAAATGCCACCTATCAATACCACAATTTAATATTCCAACCAAGTTGTTCAATTCATTTAAAGAGTATTTGGTATAGGGTGATTCATTTAAAAGTTTCAGTAATTTACACTTACATCACCTTATTTGATAATAATTTAAAAATTTTATATAACAATAATCTTATTATTAAGGTGATTAGATCATTGGCTCAAGAGTGATTTGATTCCTAATCTAAATGATATGAAAGTTTTATCACTATGAGAAAGTAATTTTCAATATTATTTTTCTAACTAATTTATCCTCACGAAAAATATAATTAGTATTACCTTAAAAAGCTAGTTACTAAAAATTTTAAATGTTGGTCTTTTTAATCATTTATTCTAAAAGAGTTTTATGTTATAAATTTATATTGACTAAAAAAAGATAATAGATTTATTTAATAATTTTTTAGAAATTATTTTTATCAAAATTGATTTATATTTTGTAGTTTCTTTTTTATAAAATAACATTTAACTATTTTATAAATTATTGATTTAATAAGTATTAAATATTTTTTAAAGGTTATTTTGGATGTTTTGTACTATATGATTTATTTTTTATATAATATCAAATACAATAATTTAAAAATACTAATAATTTATAATATTGTACCAAATATAGTAATCTAAGATCATTAGTTGCCAAATTATCTTGGTAATTTTATCACCATGATAATTATATTGCTGTGATAATTTAAAAAAATGATACCTCAATGCCTTAATTTTATGCAAGGACAATATTATCTTAATGAAGAATTTCCAAAATCTTGGAAAATTTATATTTCAAGAGAGAGATTTCTTTAGCATGAGCATATATTATTGATAACTTGGTTTTATGCGTGACTGACGCAGTAGCTAGTGTGTGAAAGATCGACAAAATGCTCATAAAGGAACAGAATCAATGAGCATAGAAGCTACAAAGTCTTTAAGCATCACTCCAGCATGAGTATAACCATCTTCAGTCTTGTATACAACATCAATTACACGAGCAAGATTGACAATTCGAGTCAGGAGTGACATGGGGACAGTGGTTGGATAGAGACATTCTTCATTTATATCTTTCCATGCATCAGTAATTTGTTGGCGAAATTCGTTGACAGCTTCTTGTTCAGTAGCACCATGCTGTTTCATGTAACATTCAATGCCTGAAGCTACATGTCCTCTCTTTTGCTCGAACTGCTTCCGCAAAATCATCAAAATCAATGGCTAATATAAGTATATACCATGCCGGAATTTTGGTTTTTAAGCCAATTGATCATTCGAGAAATTAAAAATTGTGAAGTTTGTACCTTGTGGGACACAATGTCATCCATGAGTCTGCAGACAATGGAAGCGCCAGTAGCTATCTTGGGATCACTAAACAACCATGCGAAAGCTTCTTCTGTTGCAACATCTCCCATTCCGACAAACGATGTGGTTGCAAGCATTGAATAGGCAGAGGTGACTAATGCAACTGGCATGTACTCCTCCATTGTCGGTACATGGTGGTTATGGAACCATACAGCTTCAACACAGTATGCTCTAACTTGATTTTTCATCTGAGCAACCAAAAACAAAATAATCAGTTGAAACAAGAGGAATAGTTATTATGTGCACTGAAATCTAAATTCAGCTAATTAGCTTACAGCTTCTTTTGCATAGTCAAGGCGGTATAATTTTCCTTGTTCTGTCATTTTCTCTTCAATTTCTTTGTAAACATCTAGCAATGCCTGATAACAAATTTGCATGTACTCAGGAAGGTGATCTTTTTCAGATATATCCCACCTAAAAAATATGTTGACCAAAACTTTAATTTAATTCATCTTATGGAAAAGAAACAATTACTATGAACTTTGAAGGATAGACATGAGTGAGGAATTGCAAAAAAAAAAAAAAAAAGAAGAAATCAGACCTCTCAACTGCTTTAGTAAAGAGAACAAGTTCTTCAAGAGTGCCATACACATCATAGATGTCATCAATAACTGAAGTCATGGCAATCACTTTGGTTAATATGCTTCTAGCCAACCGATATTCGGGCTCAAAGTACACTCCCAATATCCAAAAGTAGCACTCTATCACTCGATCTCTGATAAAAGGTAGTTTCCTCAAGAAATCTAAGTCTTTCCACCACCTGAATACCATAATTGAAGTGCATCACTTAATTAACGAAATCTAATATGGAGGAAAATCCCAATTGATAGCTGGGCAAACTATAATCCTCAGCTGTCATATATATATCTATAGCTAGCAATTGCTAGGCATCAAGTAAGGGGGACTTCAAAGCTTACTTTGCGATTTCACTAAGTTCTTTCTGGTGCACCCTCTGCAGCATATTGAAATCTAACTTTGCAAAGGTTAATACAGCTTCATTATGAGAAGGGTCTTCTTGATAGATAGGCATGTACTGCCTGGCCTCAAGCCTTGGCAATCCTTTGTGGATAGGTTGCTTTAAAGCATGACTTATTTGTGCTGCAAGAGAAGAGTTCAAGCAGCTGGTAGCCATGGTCTCAAGGTGAGTAGTAGTGAAAGCAAGAGCTTCATCCAGGATGTCTTCCCCATGCACCCTTAGATGTGTGGCCTCATACAAGCTTAACATTCCTTGAACATCATTGATAAGGGATTCCTTCAACTTTCCTTCACTGTCTTTGAATTTGTTAAAGGCTTCTGCTTTCACCATACATAAACATCAGATGGTTTTAGTCAGTAATGTTAAATAAACTAAAAATCTCTAATCACATGAAAATTGAATGAATCAAACCATTTTTTGTAATAAAGTTTTCAAAACTCTTATCTATTTTTATCCCGACACAAAGTTGAAAATAAGCCTAAATTAAATTGGTTCACAAATATAGTCAAGTTCTGTCCATAAATATAGAAAAGCAGGTACTAAGATCAGTTTAATACCACATGACATTTTATAGCCATTTTGTCGAAGCAGGCGAAATTCGAGAGAAATGGTATAAAGGTTCCCATCATTGACCCCAATATCACAATCATTGTAGGCCAAGTGCAGGACTTGTTCAATCTCTTTTTCAAAATGATAAGAAACTCCTAGGCGTTGGATTGCATCAATCAACTTAAGCTTTTCCAAAGGTTTATCAACCTCATCAGCCATTAGCATCTTCTGTAATTCATTCTTCAGCTTCTGATGCTCTTCCTCCTTATCATGATCTTCCTCCTAGATAAGAAAATAATCAAATTAATACACCTCCCTTGAGAAACATGTTGGAACTTATGAAGTACTTTTTTGGAATATAAGTAAACCTTTCAATTTAAAACATGACTAAATAATAAAAAAAAAAATGCAAAGGTGACAGTTTAAAATTTTGAAAAAAATAATATATAGTTTAACAAAAACAAAAAAAAAATATTTCGTATTTTTTATATCAATACAAATTTTGACATAATTTTTATGTAAAACACAAATATACAAATTATCGGTGTTTTGCACGCACTAATATATGAATTATCAAAGTCTATTTATATGTAATTAAGCAGAATGCAAATATTAAACTAATTATTGCAATTACCCTATTAATGTTTGAGGCATATGAGAGAAAATGGTCACCCCAGATGCTGGGATGATAACCTGCCGACCGACGATTGATTTCAGGCAGTTCAGCATTTTGGATTGGAGATGAAAGAGTTACTGCTGAAACTTCAATAGACATTTTTGAAAACTGTTTTAAAGGATAATATGAAATAAAATTTTGAGTACAAAAGATATGAAGGTGCCGGTTTACTGCACTTCGGTGCTTCAGGAGGGATTTCTAGCATTGGTATTTATAGAGAGCTAAGGTGGCATGGGAATCCTAAAGAACATGTGACATGGAAGGCCGCAAAATTCGAAAAGTCAAGAAATAAACCATGAGGCCACTTGGAAGTGACAAGATTCTCTCCACTTTTCACATAGTTTTTCTTGGCTTCTGTGGTACACATTAAGAGAAAGCAAAATGCCAAGAACCTAGCATCCACACATTTTAAAACCCCATATTCTTGGAAATTTTTTCAGAACAATTCTAATTAATAATTGAACTTTCAAATTTCAATCATCAAACCACCGGATGTGGAAATCATGTGGCCATTAAAAAAAAAAAGGGAAAAATTCTAGTACCGCTAATAGTAAAATTTGCAATCAAATTACTTAACCCACCAAAAAATTTAACGAAGGCCTGAAAGGGAATAAAATGGATATGTATAAAGCCAACAAAAAAGAATAAAACATCAAGTTAAATATTATTACAATCAATTCATGATTTTTGGCAGCAAATCCTCTGCCTAATCCCGCCCGTTTGTTATACCTTGTTGTCCCTTTTTACGAGAATTTCAAGTGGATCCTACAGTTCACTAAGTTTTAAATATAATAATTGACCTCACAGGCATCAAAAAACGCACACAAAAGGGATTGAGAATCCTCTTGAATTCACTTACGTTTTTCATGCCTTGCCGACTTCGTTTTTTTTTTTTTTTTTTTTACGAGAATTCATGTGAATCCTACAGTTCACTAAGATTGAAATATAATAAGTACGAAATTTTAGTTAAAATAATTTTATATTAATATAAACCATAAGTTTTTTGCTTTTTAAATTTACAATCAATAATAAATATAATACCTAAGGTATAAAGTCAAGTACGACAACTTTTCTAAGTGTATTCACAATTAGCTCCCATACCAAGTTGGCCATATGTTTAATGTTTTTATTTTTTATTTTTTTATGAAATTAGATATACATGCAAAAATTACAATCAAATGAAATGTTTCTTAATACGTAAAATACTACTATTACGTATATTCTAAGGCCTCTATTTTGTCCTTGGAAACAGACTTTTATTGGCACATAATAATTAGTTAAATGTTTGAAACAATTGATATGTGACCAGAAAAAGGAAAGAATGAATCGATAGGTTAGGGCAAAAGACAAATTGTGTTGCAAAGTGGGTTGGGCCGGTAGAAGATAATCTTGGGTGTGCAATTGTTGAAGCTTAAGTCCAATGGCCGATTATACTCTTCGAAGCTGAGAAATGAGGAATTTTGTTTACATTTTTTTTTTACTTTATATATCTCTTTATTAAATATATTTTAAATTCAAACTTAAATTTTTTATTTTAACTAAATATACTCCACATCTCATTTTTCTATTTTTACATCCTACCCTTTCACTTTTCCATTCTCTTTTCTTCTTTCTTCATTTTTAAAAAAAAAAAAAAACCCTAAATCTATCACACTAAACTCAACTCACTTGTGTTTTTCAATTTTTTACTAATTAAGGGTAAGATTTCTAGCTTTTTTTTTTTTATTAATTTAGTTAAATTTTTTTTAAAATTCATGTGACTATATGTTAGGATTTTCAGTAAAATTTAGAATGAATTTGAGCTTATAAATGAAATTTCAAAAAGCCCTAAATCTTCTTGAAAATCTATTTTGAAAAGCTTTTAAGCTTCTCAGAAAGGAATTTTTGAGAAACTTTATATTTTCTCAAAAATCCATTTTCAAGAAATCTTACGTCTTTTCAAAAATTCATTTCCAAAAAAACTTTATATTTTCTTGAAAATTCATTTTCAAAATACCTAAATATTCATTTTCTCATTTTCTATATAAAGAGGATTGATCTCTTATACAAGAAGGATCAATCTTGTCCAAACTCAAGAGTTTACACATTTTTAGCGAGAAAGAAATTGGACATTTTATCTAATGTCATTTTTTATTTACGAAAGTTTGTTAAATATATTCTATAAGCTTAATTGAGTTGTTTTTCTTTTTTTTTTTTTTTTGTTACAAATATATCTCATACACGAAAAGGAGGTATTCTTACTTGAGAAAAACTTACATAAGTTCCATTAGTGAAATTTATGATATTCCTAATTAAAATTGAGTAAATAAAAATTAAAATCGAAAATCAAAACTAATAGATTGAAATATCTAATCACATAGATCAAGTGTGTATAAATTTTTAATAAATTTTGATATATTTATTAAATAGATATTTTTAGTAAAAATATTGATAAAATTTTTATCGTTGAATTAGTATTGATCAAATTTGAATTATAAACAATATTTTTAATATTTTTTTTTACATATTATTGATATTCACATTGAACTTTATCAATTTATTAGTTCAGATTTTTTATTAAAATTTTTTTTTAATTATTTTTTTAAAAAAAAATTCATAAATTTCACTTAAATAACTTCATATAAGTTTTATCCTTCCTACCCAAGGTAGGGGTATTAGAGCTTATGTCAGTCTAAGTCAAAGGCATCCAATTATCTCGAAGAAAAAATGATGAGTAGGGAGGACGATGAGTCAAAAAACCATACAATCAATGACATTTCTCATACTAAGCCCTTGACTTCAACCACAGATGAGTATCATGTGGAATCTTTTCTACGAGATCCGATTGATGTCTCTATTATATTGAGCTTTGCTTCTCATGTTGCATTTTAAATTTGGAATAGCCAAGTAATTACTTTAATCATATTATATGAATCATGTTAGTTTATGTCTTTAGAGTGCCTTGATTGATTGTTATTATTGATGTTATTGTGTATGTTGTTTTTTATTTTTGTGATGTTGTTGATTTAATTTTTTGTTGTTATTGTTATTGTTGTTGTTGTTGTTTTTATAGTTACAAAAGCGAGATACGAATTCAATTAACCATAAACATTAATATAAACAATTAACAATTATTACAAAAAATAATCAAATAAATTTCTTTTAGGCTACTAAAAATTTGGGAAAAAAGAATTAGTAGTAGAAGCTTTTAAAATTCCACAAGGTGGTCTTTGTATGTCCATTTTATAATTAATTATTAATATATAAATTGTTATTAATATACTTTACTGAAATACATGCATGTTATTTTTAATTCGTTTGTAAAATTTAAAAATTTATTATCCATGTATGAGAAAATTTTTCAAAAAAAAAAAAGCACTTTGATTACAATTCAGCTACCTATAACTACATGTCATCAATTTTTTTAAAAAAAAATCCTAGGAAGCATGGAATTTCAAATCATCACCTCAAATATTCCGTTGGTTTCAAGAATTCTTCGTTGATATATGTCCATCTTGTTAGGATTTAAACACCTTTGCAGAAGTAATAAAACATTTTATAGCATTTTATAGCCATTTAAATTAAGAGTTAAGATCAGTTTAATACCACATGACATTTTATAGCCATTTTGTCGAAGCAGCCGAAATTTGAGAGAAATGGTATAAAGGTTCCCATCATTGGCTCCAATATCACAATCATTGTAGACCAAGTGCAGGACTTGTTCAATCTCTTTTTCAAAATGATAAGAAACTCCTAGGCGTTGGATTGCATCAATCAACTTAAGCTTTTCCAAAGGTTTATCTACCTCATCAGCCATTAGCATCTTCTGTAATTCATTCTTCAGCTTCTGATGCTCTTCCTCCTAGATAAGAAAATAATCAAATTAATACCTCCCCCCCCCCCCCCTTGAGAAACATGTTGGAACTTATGAAGTATTTTTTTGAAATGTATGTAGACCTTTCAATTTAAAATACAATACAATAATATAAAAAAATAGAGATACAAAGATGACGGTTTAAAATTTTGAGAAAAATACTATATAGTTTAACAAAAAAAAAAAAAATTATTTCGTATTTTTCATATCAATACGAATTTTGACATAATTTTTATATAAAACACAAATATACAAATTATCGATGTTTTGCATGTACTAATATATGAATTATCAAAGCCTATTTATATGTAATTAAGCAGAATCCAAATATTAAACTAATTATTACAATTACCTTATTAATGTTTGAGGCATATGAGAGAAAATGGTCACCCCAGATGCTGGGATGAAAACCTGCCGACCGACGATTGAATTCAGGGAGTTCAGCATTTTGGATTGGAGCAGAAAGAGTTGATGCTGAAACTTCATTAATAGACATTTTGGAAACTGTTTTAAAGGATACCGAAATAAAATTTTGAGTACAATAGATATGAAGGTGCTGGTTTACTGCACTTTGGTGCTTCAAGAGGATTTCTTGCATTGGTATTTATAGAGAGCTAAGGTGGCATGGGAAGCCGAGTATAACGAAAATTCATGCATAAAATTTTAGTATTTTTGAATAAAAATAAATAATTTTATTTATAAACAAAATCTCTTGTAAAAATGGTTTCGAAGGCAATATATAGCTGAGGTTTGTGCTTTTTTTTTTTTTTTTGGAGTTCAATCGTTAACATTAATTCTTAATGCGTGGCTTCGTAAATTAATTTGATTTTTTTTCTGGATTTGGAAAAGGCTATGAGTGGTGAAGTCCATCCCAAGTATTTTAATTTGGTGGGTAATTGGAGCTGAGTTTTTTTGGCATGAAATTTGTATTTTAGTGTTTACACATATTCAATTATTAAAACTTTGATAATGTTGATGTTCAATTTAAATATTCATATTATTTATTTATTTATTTCTTTTTATTTTTTATTATAAAGTACTTTTAGCTCATTAATTTACATCGGAAAGAAATTAGTGTTTTTCTAAAAGATTTATTAATGAGAATTTAGTTTTTCTAAAACAAATTAATTTAATTACTGTTTTTATTACATTAGTTCACGTTTAGGCATTTTTAAAATTTTTTATTTAAATTTATAAAAAATTAAATTTTAATCATTTAAATAAAGAATCGCTATAATTTTTTTTTATTGATTTTTTATATTGTTCTTATTCTGGTCTCTGTTTGGGTTTATAGGAAAATAAAGAGGCACCGAGATAAAGGCTTCTGTTTTCTCTCATCCACAAAAGAGTAAGTTTTGGCTGGCCATGATTTGACACGATGAGTCATCATCCATATTTCTTAATTAGGTGTATTTGATATTTAATTAAATTTATCTTCTTAAAATAAATTTTAATCCTGATTGATTAGACTCTTTAAAAAAATAAATTTTTACATACAAAGTAAAATTAATTTGGGTAAGCAATTACGTACGAGAAACTTATTAAAATCTCATAATACTCATCCTAAAAATATTTTAATTGATTTTATATTTATTTTAAAATTTTTATGATTAAAATGAATATATAAATTCAAGTGCTATAGCTTTTCTAATTGAATTCACAACCATCCATGCTGTGTTGGCAATGGAAAATTTTTGTTTAATGTTTTTATTTTATTTTTATGAAATTACATAAACATGTTAAAATTACAATCAAATGAAGTATTACTCAATATATATGATATTACTATTACATTTGAAAAGAAATCAATAAACAAATTGAATATTGAATATATCAGCATAAAGTTAAACGAAACTTACATAGTGATTTGAGCTTAACATTTAAAGATTCTAATGCCTTTTATTTTGACAAAATTATAAGTATAAATTATAATCATAATCAAAATTAATAATTAAATTAACAAATTAGAATATAATAACATAAATTCAACATAAAATTAAATCAAATTTACATATAATAAAACTTAAATATAAAATCTAAAGGTTTTAGCACCTCTTTCTTACCATTAAATTAAGTTCTTATTAGCCTTAATGCCTCTTATTTGTCATTGAAAACGAACTTCATTGGCACATAATTAGTTTAATGTTGGAAGCAATTGATATGTGATCAAAACAAGAAAAGAACGAATTGATAGGTTCGGGCAAAAGACATGTTTTGTAGCCTTGGACTAAACTCTAAGTTTTAATAGCTTCCTTTTTATTTTTTATTATACCAATGACTAATTTTAACATAAGACATTAACATGAAATTATAAAAAATGAGGAGTGCAATTGCAACAAAAACAAAATAAAGAAATGATAGGTTGGGGGCAAAAGACAAGTTTTCGTTGCAAAATGGGTTGGGTTAGTGAAAGACACAGCCTTGGGTGCATGGTCAGCCCAGTTGGCAATGAATATGGTTGATAAAACCCTAAAGTCCAATGGCCAATGCTGAAATGTGCTGACAGCTTGTTTCTTTGTTCTTCAATATGCCAACGTCCAATGCCCAATGTTACTTAACATACAACATTAACATGAAACTATAAAAAGAAGAGATGCAATTACAAGAAAAAAAAAATTGAATAAGATTCTCTCTATCCTGTATTATAGATGGGATATGTGTCGCCCTGCTACGTACATTGAATCATAAAACAGAATAGAATATATCCCTCAATGTTCTTATACATCCTGCATCAAAAGGTACATCAAATGCAATGAAGTAAAAACGAACGAAAGGAACTATGAGAAAAAGCTGAGGCTGTTATTCAACATCATCCATCAGTCTGTAACCTATAAAAAAATTAACTGATTATTACTATACTACCTTTGTATGTATCTCAGTTGTCACAGTGCCAAGCAGAAGCCGATATAAGGTTCCTGTCCTTCCAGCCCAACAACATAGCACCGTCCTTCTCCACCAGTGTATAATGTTTAGAGTAACACCTCAGCAGGCTTCGTATCACAGAATTGACATAAGAGCTTAAAGGGTATTGTCGGAATCCTGCCATTGTCAGCCTGGACTTCCACTTACCAAAGAGCTCATGGCGCTCCACCCTCTCCTTTCCCTCACAAGCAATGACATTCACAATATCCCGGGCCAGGCAGTGTTGCTCCACATTAATTCGTTCCTTTCTATCCCTTGGCATTGTCTCGTCTATGGACTCAAACATTGCCAAGTAGTACTCCAGAGTCTCTATGAACCTGGGGAGGAAAGGGGCCGTGTTTGTGTTTGATTCTTGCTCTACCAATGTGGCAACCTTGGGAGAAAGTGACTTAACCATTCGAAGAAGCCCATCCCTAGGATTGTTCACATCAACACTCTCGTCAGGGGTGTGATGAGCTGCAGCGGGAAGTTGACAGCCAGAGCCTCCCCAGGCCTGACATCAAGCATGTCCCTTGTGATATCTGGTGCAAATACGGGCACTCCATGAAACTCAACTGGAATATTGAACTTCTCAGATAGTGCTGCCAAACGTCTTTCAACACCTTCCAATCCACCACCACGAGCATATTTAGAAACAGGATCATCAATTCCAGTAATCCGTACGTAAGGAGCTCCACCCGGTCTGGCTGCAAGCGCTTGCAAGAGGGTCAGCCATTGTGTTCCCTGAGCAATCTGGAAATCAATAATGTGGATGCGATCTTCATTTCTGCATGCTTCAGCAATGGCCCCATTTGCTGCCATGTAGCCAAACTTCAAGTACGGGCAGATTTCATACAGGATATGCATGTAGGAAAGCAAGTCCTTGCCTTCAGGCTCTATGCAACGAAGGGCACGATATATGTTAGACCCTGATGCCTCCTTCCTTGCTACCAACCCTTCCACCATGTAAGCACCAAGACGCTGGATTGGTTCTCCACAGATAGACACAGAATCCCTCGTCTTCAGAATCAACTTATCAAATTCATCCATATTGTTCTCAGAGAGAGCTTTAGCACACGCAATCAACAACTGCTTCAGATTGCCTCGTGGAATACCCTGCAAAGACAAATCCTCTATTGTTTTATGACGTTTCTCAATATAAGCAACTTCAGTTGACTGCCTATGCCTAGAGACAAAGGATGTCTGAGGCTGAAGCACCAGAGATGCTTGGCACTCCTGACTCCATGCCCTAGATCGCTGGTCAGTTGTCTGTGGTCTACTACTTTCTCCACAGGAAACACTTGAGGTGGTTACTTCTTCATCCTCATCAGGTGCCATGAGTGTGGTCTCTAATTCCTGCAAAGTGTATATTACTTTGTGGCTAGAATTTGCATCTTGTATATAAGAAGTTCCACCAGAACAGAGAGGTAAGCTTTCACGCCTGCAGTCCAGAGAGGGACTCAATCGATGGAAATAAATGTTAGATTCAAGTGAAGAGTTACAAGAAGGGCTGAGTCCTGAGAGATTCTCAGTGGAGCTATGCTGCTCCTGGCTGTCACTCAGTGTGGTGTTGGTATCACAATCAAATTGAGTTGAAAAGGGTGAGTTCGGTGAGTTTCCTATGTCAGATTTCAAAGAACTAAACAACTTGTTAGGAAATGAAGGAACAGTTGAACAAGAGGTTGAGTAGGATAGGCCCGCACCAGTCACACCGTACAATCCGAAAAGCGGGTGTGAGTCCATGCTATGAGTTTGGCATCAGCTTTCCAACGTGATGAAGAGATCACAGAAAATTTATCAGCAGCTTAGAACGGGATTGTCAACCCCTTTGTCACAAGGACTACAAGAAACTTCAACACTATAGAAATTATACCTTCAGGAAAACAAAATTGACCTGCAAAAACAATGCAAAGAAAAGTTAAGTTATATATGTTCACATATTGTAGTTGACAAACAAAGCTGGTAAGAAAGAGAGAGAGAGAAATCCAAATTGAAGAGCTAAAGCTATGCGTATAGTCTAGCTTTGATAAACATTAAGAATCAGTCTATAATTTGTTGGCAGACAATCTACTGCAAATGGTAAACAGTAATATAGAAGGTTTATAGTTATATGCATATTCTAAAAAGTTAAATAATTAACAAGTTAAAAAATCCCTCAGAAGTCCTACAATAGAATTAGTTTACGATTTCTTGGTCAGCAATCCAAAAGCAGCTTGATCAACGATGTTGAAAATTTGTCCAATTATATAAAATGCATGACAAAGACATATTAATTGTATAATTCCTATATCCTGCACCACACAATTAATTTTTGGTTTCAATGATCACTCATTAACAAACCCGAGAAAGAAAAACTGCAAAGGCAAAACCATATCCTCAAATCATAATTCTATAGAAGTTTTGCATGAGCTGCAGACATAAGTTTCCTAAACAAAAGCAACCTAAATCCAAATCTATAACTGAAAATTTTGATCCAGTGTATTTTGACTTAATACTCATGATAACTTTTCTCTTTTTGTGAACTAAATCAAATTTTCACTCTTAGAATCCTGAGATTTCCAAAAGTTAATCAACATCTGCTACCTGCTTGAGAAAGCTGCAATATGTAACAATTACAATCGATGCAAAGCTTAACAAATTGAACGCTTGGCTCAACAATACCATTCAATATTTCCTAATTGAAGAGAACAAAATATTCAACCCACTTAAACATTCCAGGATCAAAGAAAACAATTTTTGCTCCTGATGACTGCCTGTTATTTTATGAAAAACCAGAACCAGCCTCAAAAATGAAACAGCCCAAACCCAGAAAGAGAAAATTTTTTATAATCTTTCCAAGTGAAAACTAACCAAGTTTCCAACAAAACAAACACCTTCTAATTAATTAAAAACAAAAATAAAACAACTTTTGCTAACAAACTAAAATCTGAGCACTTAAAGTACCAATCTTTCTTCAATCAATATATAAAGCACAGAAAACTCAGCTACTTTTTTCCATTTCCCAGAAAACTATTACCAACCAAAATGAAAACCCAGAAACAAAATATAAAAATCCAATTCAAATAAAAGCCAATTAACATTTAACAACCAAAGAACTCAAAAGAAACACCAAGAAAAAAGTCAATTACACAGTAAATTTTGGAAGTTTACCTGGAAATTCTTGTTTCTCAGGAATAAAAATCAAAACCCAAAGCTCCAAATTAAGGAAAAAAAAATAGAAACTTCTTCTTTCACTTTAAGACTTGGACTTTCTTTTATATTTTTCAAAGTTCGAAATTGAAAAACAAAGAAGGGAAGATAGCCTTACATTTATAGGAGGGAAAGGGAAAGGATCGTAACGGAATTTTTTTTGACGGAAACTTAAACGGAAACTGTTTTTTAAAACGTTGGCGAAGTCGTGTTTGTACTGCGAGAATTAACGACGTTAATAGAAAACTAACGGCCGCCGACCTTGCACCCACGTTCGACAACATTCTACGATATTTCCATTTTTTTTTTATTTTGTTTTTTCGTGAAGTGCGTGACAGATGACAAACGCTGTCCCCACTCGCCTCTCTAGACTGTGTGAAACAAACTCCGTCATCACTTGTGCTCTCTTCCTCATTTGCAAATTTTTTTCTTTTATTTCCTTTATTTTTTAAAAAAATATAAACACCAATTAAAAATTATTTAATTAAATTATTATTTAATGTCTTAAGTCATTTGTTAAAATTAATTAAATTATTATTTATAATAATATTTTATATTAATATAATAGTAATTAATTTTATAAATTTCAATGCATTAAACATTGTAACTTATCCAATATAATAATTTTAAAGAGTGTTAGTTGAAAAAAATTTATTTAATTATTATTTTAAAAAATTAGTTCCTATTAAAATTTTAATATGAAAAACACTAAAATCGAAGTATGGTTTTTTAGTTCTGGTGATTGGGTTCGATTACTGATAATTTTAAATAAAAAAAACTTTATTTTTTAACTAGTAAAAAGTATTATTTTTAAATATATATATCAATTTTCACCCAAAAAAATTATTTATAATTAATTTAAATAAATAGTAAGTAAACTTGCACGAAAGGAAAAGGAGCGTGAACTTGACGAAAGTGAAGCGTGTTTGACTGGTGACGAACACGTAACATACATGGGACGCTTGGTGGGAGGAATCAGACTGGTTCGGAGCCCGCCGTGTAAAACTGAAACCAGCAGCAGCGAAACTGCGATCACCGAAGAACGACAACTGGCAGTTACTAAGTGAAGAATTAGACACGTTGCTATACGTCGCATCTGGTCGTTGACTCTTTTGACCAGACGTGGCAATCTTGGATTTAATCCACAAAAGGCATGGGACCTACAAAAAGAAAGTACTTTGTTCTTAATAAAGTTTCTAATTAATTATGATTGTTGAGATGAAAATTGGGAGATTAACTGCGTGGAGTTTGGGAAATTTTTTGTTGGTCTTTTTAATTTTGATTCTTTAATTGCCCCAAACTACACGAAAATGCTAATAAAAATAATTAATGGTTAATTAATTGATCTAATCATTAATTATATGTTCAATTCCATATATTTCTCCCTCACGAATTATTAGATATTAGGTGAAGAATGATACTAAACTTATAATCTAAGACCATCCTTATTTATTTTCGATACGAGATTCGTGATTTTTTTTTTATTTATGCAATGTTTTTTATTGCTTTGATTCTTTCACTGGAAAATTTTTTTTTTTTGAATTTATCCCCATTTTGATAGATTCCATAAAAATTAATATTAATGAAAATAATCATCATCTTAATTTTATATTTTATATAGTGAATATATTGAGAAAATAATCATCTTTAATAAGACAAAGTTTAGATAAATTTTTTTATGCATTTAATTCAATTAAATTATAACATTTTTTATACAAATAAAACAAAATAATAAGACTTTATCTTATTTTATATTATCCAAATCTTTTTTTTTATTTGATATTTGACCTTATAGAAATTAAATTTAAATAGAATTTTTTTATAAAAATCTTATAGCTTGAAATTAAAATCTTTACTCAAATCTCACATAATTTATTTAAATCATGAGTTAGAACTCTTCTTAATTAAAAAAAAAATTAGAAAGTGAATGCTTCAATTGATATGATGATATACGTGAAAAAGCATAAAATCAGTTATAAATTACTTAATCAAGAAAGTATTTTTCCTAATAACTTAGTCATCATGCATGAACTTGAAAAACCAGACTGGTTCCTTCCAATAAAATCATGATCCAACTTTGTAAAAGCAATTCCTTTATAAATATATATATATATATATATATATCATGATAAGATCTTGATCATATTCCTATCAAATCAAAATCAAAATAAATTTATGTTTTAATTTAATTAATTTATATAATTATTTTAAAAAATAATATTTAATAGAGTTAAAATAGAAATGGATAAAATAATAAGGTTTTTGAAGAAGAAATTTTTCCTAACATTCCTAAATTTTTTATAAATTTTTTCATTAATAAAATTAATAAATTTATCAACACTTTTTTATATATAATATAAGTGAAAACCTAAAAAAATATTGAATTTCCCATTAATTTGAAATTAAAATGCCAGCACTTACAATATATTTTTTTTATTTTCAAACTATTATCTCTTTTATTTAAAAAAAAAAAACTCAAAATAAAAAATAGCATCCCATGCTTAATTTGACCCTTTCCTTACCTACAAAAAGACAACAAAATTTTCTCTGAAAATGAAAATCTCATCATCAATATGTGTTTATTTTTCTTTAATCTAATCATTAATTACAAGACTAAAAATCTCATGTGAACCTTATGAAATTACTGAATTTGCTTTCTGGCATTGGCAAGATGCAGATGGACATGGAAAAAAGGCCAAAGGATTGATGGGTTTCTCAGCTTATAAAGAACATGCATCTGGAAGGTTTAATGGAATGACTCCACTAAAAAGAAAAAGAATATGTATGAATCACTTTCTTTTTTCTTTTATATATATCTTTTTATTTTTTTATGTGTTTCAAGTACAAAGGGTTGGCCCAATTGCCACTTAAATTACAAGTTGTTGTTTAATAATAATGCAGATTGTCACACATTATCATCATTCCATGTTCATGGAACTTTCCTATTTCACATTTAAGCATTTTTCTTCAAGATGCATGCTCCTGTTTTTTAGCTCTTTTATTTTCTTTTTTAATGGAAGATTTTTTTAAAAAATTTAAATCTAATGAAATTGAATTACCAAAAAAAAAAATCCTAAAACATATATCTCCAAATAGAAGGAAAATTAGAAAGTGAGACTTTTAGCATGGAGATTTTTTTTTAAGTTATAATTATTATCAAATATTATATTTATATTATCAATTAAATAATCAATTATTATATTATAATCAAATTACAATCATTGAAAAATCAACAAATGAGTTAAAACATAATCAAATTCAAAGATTTGAACCTAAAATTTTAATATTTTAAAATCTCTTTGCAACTAAATCAAAGTCTCATCGCTCTCTTTGACTTAAATAATAAAAACAAAAAAATAAATATTCACATATTTTCCTTTTTCTCGTTATCCAATTGAATACATTGATATGAATTGGTAATGCATTTTCGATTAATTGGTAGGCTGCGCCATTCAATGTATATGCTCTCCAAGTAAATATATATTATAAAATTAAAAAAAAAAAAAGCCCTTAAATATATAAACCCAAGAAACCAGAAAATATTGTAAATTCTGGAGACAAAGGCACAATTAAAAAATAGATTTAAAGAATTTAATGGACAATCATAATGCGAACAAGGACATTAAAAAGTATAGTACTAAAATTAACTATTACAAAACTAATTGGGTGGAAGAGAGTCTTTTTAACACGTTTTGAGTGGACTAGTTGGTGTTTAAAGTACAAATTAAATGGATAATTATGGAGAAACATGCTTTACAAAATTAAGAAAAGAAAACCCAAAATCTCTAGCACTTCTTTTTTAATTACCCAATAAAGTGCAAGGATGGAAGGAATGATATATTGACAAAAAAAAAAAAAAAGGAGATTCTTTAAGATATAAAATTATTTTTAAAGAGAATGGATCAATTTATATTAATATAAATTATTTTTTTAAGAGAGAAACCAATCAAAAAGAAAAAAAAATTTAATCTCATCTTTTGGATATATTAAAATCAATAATTAATAAAATATAAAAATGTTTAATTTTATACTTATATAAGTTGATTTCTTCCCATTTTTATATGCAAATATATATATATAATATATATTAATATATGTTGCACCTAATTATAACAATTAAGGGCAATGAAGCATTGTTTTAATTAGAAAGCAAACAGGAAATCTTAAAATACTCAAAGCTTCAAATTTAAGTCATACTCTATATGAATTTGGTCTAATTATATGTTAGTTATTTAATTAATTAATTAGTTTGTTTAATTTAACTCTTTAATTTTTTTTGTAAAATTTAATACTTAATTAGGCTATGTTCCATGATGACCACACCAATATTTGCTGGTAGCATTCTGGCCTCGAACGGGATTTAGGAAAAATGAATTTTCACCAAGATTGTGGCTTTTATCAATCATGATTTCAATTATAATTGTATCTTTTACTTGTAATTATAATTTTATTCATCCGAGTTTGGTCCCAACCCCTTTCTTTACGACAAAATAAATTAATCAAGCAAAAAATATAGCATATCTCAAAGTCTCAAGTGTAATTATGAATGATCAAAATCAAAATTTTCATCATTAATTTGTTTCCCTTTTCTTCTCTTACTCGTTAATCGTCATAATTAAGATTTCTTTAATTAGGTATTGTTGGTATCAAATGAGTTTCTTGCCACTTTTCTTTTATTGTTGAGTCGGCATTCAGAAGGAATTTGGCTTCGCCATGGAAATGAGAAAGAAAACAGTAACTTGCACGTCAATTAAGAAAATGTTGGTGAAAATTTGCCAAAAACCCCTTGGTCAAACCAAATGGGAGGAAAATGACATTCCTGAAATGTCACATGGGAAATGCAAAGCCGGAATAGGGAACGCCAAAGGAGATTGTGTTTTCATTTCTCACCAAAAAAAAACGAAATTAAAAAAGATCCCACACGTGACCAAAAAAGAAATGATTTTTTTATGCCATGTCAGGCCTAGGGTGATGTGGATGAATGATATTGGTTGGGAAAATTGCAGTGGGTCCCTTGTAGTCCATAGCAACCTACCAAATTCTTGCAAGGGATTATGTCAAACATGGGGCTATGGTTATGACAAATCTACATTATT